GCGAAACATGGACGGGGGGGGGGGGGGCGTCGAAAAAGAAAAGTTGAAAAAATGTGGTGTTACAGGCGAATAAATAGAGAGGTATTAGAAGATCAGAGAATTATTTGCATGTAACTAAGAAATATGCGAGATAGATTTCTAGGACACCTTCTCAGACATGAAGGACTAGTCAGAGACATATTGGAGGCAGAAACAGGAGTTAAGATGAGTAGAGGTAGACCTAGATTAGATTACTGTTCATAAATAATGAGAATATGGGATGTTCTAGTTTAGGAAATTGCAAAGATTATCTCAGGATATGAAAGAATGGAGGTGCGTGTCCAACCAGTCTTAGGACTGACGACCTGATCATCATCATCATGAGGTCGTCAATCCTAAGACTGATTGGACACGCACCTCCACACTTTCCTATCCTAACGACCTGATGATGACGATAAAATTTGTTCTAATTGTGTTTTGTATTTTTATGATTCTACTTCTTCCTTCTCTCCTCGTCTTGACCTTTTAGAATATCCTATTGTAACTTTAGAGTAAAATAAATTGTGAATCTTCAAGTTTCAAAAATTCACAATCATTACTTCTTATTGTAATAACTTAATAGAACATTATTTTTCATTGGTTCTGTTTTCTGAAGGTGTATATTGTAAAATCAGCAAAGCATCTTACCTCGGTGACTGCCTTTTTGGTGTACTCGTTAAGGGTGAGAATCCATTCGTTGAACAACTCATTAACAATCACCAGATCATTAAAAAGCCACTGAAACACATCATTAACCCACAAAACACTGACATTATCGGCACCTGTGCATTGCGGTGCAGGGATGTACTTGGTTTTTCGGCCCAAGTCCGGTCCTGGTGAAGCGCGGGTGATACGTTTACGAACGGGAGGCGTAGGTGGCACGTAACCCCCACCCCCACTGCCGGCACCACCTGTGGCTTTTCCTCCCCCACTTTTGGGCAAACTCGACGACCTCTTCACCTTATTGTTCACGGAATCAACCGAGTCGGTCGTGACGGCCTTGCCGTCGATCTTGGCCGTTTCCGACTTCAATTTCGTGTCGTTTCGTTTCGCGAATTTTTCGTACAAGAACTTTCCCAGCCAGAGTACGAACAGGGCGACCAGAATCCAACCGAACACCAGCATGGCCAACGTGTCCATTGTTGTATCTCCTGTACCGTCGAACACACAGATCAGGTCGTCTACCGACTCGGCTAAATCCATGACAAAGCCATACTAATTCCCCGGGATCGGGTTCGGGACGCCTTTTTTTCAGCCGACTATTATCTCCACCTGCCTCATGCAGCTAGGCACTTTGCTGGCTGCTTGACCCTGCAACATCGGGAAAACAACTACTGTATTCACATAACTTTCCGAACGACGCATATACTGAATGGTCTGCGATGTTGTCAAAGTTAAAACGCTTTTTATTTTACTCAAAGTCATTCTCATAATGCCCAATAAATTTTTGAAAATGGAGCTACTAAAGGGAATCGTGTTATAAACTAAAATCCAATTATGTTTTGGGAAAATTAAGGATCTATTAGAAAATGGTGTTTTAGGACTTCTCCTTACATTTTTTGCCAATTTTTTTTCTGTCCAGAATAAAGCGTAAAATGTGCTGTTTTTACATTTACTACTTTCACTAACACCATCTGTAGATATTTAATTATTATGGAGTTAATATTGGAGTCTTTTCTTGAAGAAATTTCAAGAAATGCGTATTCTTTTACATATTTTCGTTTTCACTATTTCAGTGTGATGATATAACAAAAATACAAATTAGAATAGTCATTAAATTAGGAAACAATTTCAATGGTGCAAATTACAGCAGACAAATCGTACATTTCAATCACTAGCAATTATCCATCGACTTCTATTGAATGTTTAGAAAGTATGCTCGGCTGATTTGATACTGGAATTCATATTCTATCAATTGTTTTTCATGAAATAATTACGCTTGGATTGCGACAACTTAATGGAATTTCATATAACATTTTTTTTTATTTCCAAAAACTGTCCATCTTTGCTGCATAAGGAATATTTTATTTGAAAATACGATATGATGTATCGCATGTTAATGAGATGATGTTCGGATTTGCAACATACTTGATATGCAAGAAGTTGGACAAAATGAGTTAAACATGTTGAAAATGACAAATGTAAACTTGCATGCGGTAGATCAGATGTCTACCATAATTATAAGAACATAAGCACGGATAACGGATGTTCATCCGCTAGAAAACGGTTTATAGTATGATTTACGTATATATTTTTTTAGTAGATACTACGGTCATACTTTACTGTTTCAGCTTTAGATCACAATAATAATTTTGTTTCATATCAAGGATGTGGGATGTTCTAGTTACAGGGAAATGCGAATATTACCCGAGATAAAAATGTTCAGTCTCTCAGAGTCTCTTAAAGCGAGACTCGAGTCTCCGTCTCTCATCGAGTCTCTCTGGTGTCGCTGAGAGAGAAGGTCGAGAAACTGTCAAAAAATTGTTTAGCGCCTCTAAACGAGAGACTCGAGTCGCTCATTGACAGATCCTCATTTCGTATCCAATCTCTTAACGAGAGACTCGAATCTCTGAACGAGAGACTCGAATCTCTGAACGAGAGACTCGAATCTCTGAACGAGAGACTCGAATCTCTGAACGAGAGACTCGAATCTCTGAACGAGAGACTCGAATCTCTGAACGAGAGACTCGAATCTCTGAACGAGAGACTCGAATCTCTGAACGAGAGACTCGAATCTCTGAACGAGAGACTCGAATCTCTGAACGAGAGACTCGAATCTCTGAACGAGAGACTCGAATCTCTGAACGAGAGACTCGAATCTCTGAACGAGAGACTCGAATCTCTGAACGAGAGACTCGAATCTCTGAACGAGAGACTCGAATCTCTGAACGAGAGACTCGAATCTCTGAACGAGAGACTCGAATCTCTGAACGAGAGACTCGAATCTCTGAACGAGAGACTCGAATCTCTGAACGAGAGACTCGAATCTCTGAACGAGAGACTCGAATCTCTGAACGAGAGACTCGAATCTCTGAACGAGAGACTCGAATCTCTGAACGAGAGACTCGAATCTCTGAACGAGAGACTCGAATCTCTGAACGAGAGACTCGAATCTCTGAACGAGAGACTCGAATCTCTGAACGAGAGACTCGAATCTCTGAACGAGAGACTCGAATCTCTGAACGAGAGACTCGAATCTCTGAACGAGAGACTCGAATCTCTGAACGAGAGACTCGAATCTCTGAACGAGAGACTCGAATCTCTGAACGAGAGACTCGAATCTCTGAACGAGAGACTCGAATCTCTGAACGAGAGACTCGAATCTCTGAACGAGAGACTCGAATCTCTGAACGAGAGACTCGAATCTCTGAACGAGAGACTCGAATCTCTGAACGAGAGATTCGAATCTCTCAATAATTGGTGTCTCAATAGACAAGTTCAACATATGTTAGAGATCCCAGTCTTTCTACGAGAGACTCCAGTCTGTCATCTTTTCAGTTTTATTCATTCAGTCTCTCTGTGAGAGACTCGATTCTCTGAATTAACAATTTTATCGTTCGAGTCTCTCATACAGAGACTGTGAGAGATCCATAAAAAACCTAGGCAATAACTGAGAGACGCTAAAAGACTTTGAAAGACTCTGAGAGACTAGAGAGAGACTGAAAATTTCTGTCTAGGGTAGCTCAGGATAGGAAGTAGTGGAGGTGCGTGTCCAAGCAGTCTTAGGACTGACGACCTTATGACAATGATTTTGTTGTTCTTGAAGGACCTACCTAATTAAAAACTGAAAATCGGTTAAGTGAACTTTTTTAATTTGCTGTAAAATCAACAAAAAGTTGATATAATAATACTTTTAAGTTTTACTGTATTACTGTTAGATTGTTACTGCCTTTTCTTTTACGATTTATTTTCTACAGAAAATTTTAGATGTGCGGCAACCGAGCCGCCAGGTCGACTTAGAATGAACCAAAAATAAGCTCTCTCTCCCAGTTCTTTGCTTTTAAATATATCTGTTCTAAATTTCGAATATGTGAGTCAAAACGCGACTACGAGGTATGTCGCTTTTGTTGTGTTACAACTGAAAACAGAACATCATAATAAACGAATCAAGTTGAACATAACAGGCTAACAAATCATTCTAATTTATTTTTTCCAATTGATTTAGATCAATTAATTCCGAAAAAGTCAAAATTTAGTGAAACAATTTTCAACGTAAAAATAAAGGAAAGCTGAAATGTAACATATTCTAGTGTTTTATTCGTGATATTAAAAATGAATTATAACCAAGTAATTATCTAGCAGTTGACTTCATATTAGTTAACTGTATCTTCTACTTATTTAGAAACGGAGTAGGAATGAAATATTTTGTCATTTTCTGAACTAATTTATCAATTCTTTTTATCCATTTTGATTAACTGAGATGTCCAAGTATAACGTAATTAATGTATAAACTCGCTACTTGAGAGTAACTAATTAACTATTAAAGTAATAATTAACATATAAAGTATGGATTTTATCTTTTGCATATTTCATTATTTCATCTAGATCAGTACGAAAGAAGAAGACACATAAATATAAACATAAATCATTTTCATCTGAATTTATATGTTAGCACATGGAGAAAGCAAAATTTTTATAATTTACGTAAAAATTGAAACTTTATATTGTAAATAGCCAAATTAATAGTAGAATTTTATTTGCAAATGCCTTATCAGCATCCAATTAAAAACTGTACTATAATAATGATTACCAATTCGATCATTTTTATAATTTTTTATCATTCTTGCTTGTTGGGTACATCTTCCTGTATTAAACTCCGTCCAGTTTCAGAAGTGCCTACCTAAACGAAGTAAACTTGTTACATCAGGTTATTTTAATTTTCATTTCCGTTTCCGTAATACTGCCAGTTTAAATAAGACTGTAACAAAAGTGATACAAAGAGCTTGCTTTCAAGTCTTTCAAGAATCTATTAAGTTTAATTTTCTTTACTTAAACTAAGCACAAAGGATTTATTCAAGCAAGACGCTAACCTTGACAGACCAACATGTACCTACCTACCTAACGCTAAAAGCTCCAAGTAGGTAATAAAGAGAGATAAGGCTTCCATTATATTAGGCATATTGGGTGGAAGACTAGAGAATCAGTGGGTAACACAAAAAATTTTGAAAATTTGAAACAAACGTAACTTTTCCAATTTTTGAAATTAGTTACTTTATTAGGTTGTACATGCTATATTATTTATTATATTAAAAGTAGTTTGTTGCAATTTGTTAAACGTACAAAAGACATTGTATTTTATTAAAAATATACCAAAAATTCAAAGAGAAATTGGCCATGCAGTAAAATTTTTATATTACCTCTGTTTTTTTTTTGCAAATGTAGAAGTTTTAATAATGATATTCTTGGAAAAACATTTATTTTAACATAAGAATCCTTATCAAAATCAAATACAAACAGACAACGCAATATTGAATCTAAGTTTGTAGTTTTAGATCTGCTAGGTGTAATATCGACAAAATCAATGACAAAAAAATGTCCTAAATAAGTAAATATACATTATTATTCTCTGTTGAAAAAGATTGATAAATTTTGAAACACGTAAATTCCTTCAAACTAGATATCATGTGAATAATTGATATCAAAACAATCTTCTACTCACCTGAGTGAAAGAAACAAACTTCTTTTGGGTTAAGCGCGATGTTGTAATAGTGATCCTGCTAGGCAATACACAACAAATCGATGGAAAAGTCCTTAAGCGAGAAAAGCGAAATCGTGTGGTCTATTTTCGCGCAGAAAACACAACTGCAACAAACACAACCCAACAACACAACAACCGAATAGAAACTAATCTTAAAGCGCCACTTCGCCACTTTCCACCGGCAATATTCTCTTTTCACCGTTCGTATTGTCGCGTTTTAATATCAAGTCGATATCGTGCGACCCGACTGGTATTGAATTAATAAAAGCAAGGTTGTCACACGATGCGATTCTATCTTGAATCAAAATAAAAACTTTGAAGAAATTGAATGATTGAAAAACATTTAAAAATTTGTCGATTCACAACAGTTTCTTCCACCTAAAGAAGCCACTCATGTTTGATTGGTGTAGATCAATATTACAAATCCAAAACAATATAACAACTATAAAGAAAACTAGAAACTATTTTTTTCATGGAAATAACTTTTATACTATTGTCGAACAAATCATTAAATAATTAATTAATTAGCAACAGTTTTAACGACTTTTTCCTGTAAACTTTTGTGGAAAACAATAACTTATCAACACATTACTATTTGGGATTGTTAAAAAACTATTTAGTTACTAATTACGAGAAATAAGTTAATTTTTATTATAAACTATCGTTTGAATTCCGAAAATAAAACATTTATGAAGTTGCATGAATGTTATTAGCAATTACTAAAAAAAATCTTATTGAAAATTTTGGTGGATGCGCCGGAACAATTTAAAGTAGAAGCTATAATCAAGCTATAATTCTGGTTTCATTGAAGTAGATTTATGAATTTATATCATTATATTATATTTTTGTTCTGTAGAAGCAGTTAGAGATACTAATTTATATATTTTTTTGCNTAGAAATACAAAAAGGTTGTTAAAGGTGAATGTTTGGAGCGCGGCGCTGTACGGATGCGAAACATGGACGGTGGGCGCGGCGGAAAAAGATTTATGAATTTATATCATTATATTATATTTTTGTTCTGTAGAAGCAGTTAGAGATACTAATTTATATATTTTTTTGCAAATAATGTATAATGTGCAATGTAATGTATAGGCAACCCAACAAACCACGAAAATTACAATAATGATTTAATTAAAAGGAAATTTAGAAAACGTGTTTTCTCATGCAAATAACTTTTTTACATGAAACTCAACTTATTCTTTAACAAATCACAAAATATTATGTGATAATAATTAATTTATTAGTAATCTTTTTAAAGACATTCTTATAAACATTAGTTGAAAACATTTACCTATACATTGTTATTTTGGGGTTGTTAAAAAAGTATTTAGTTACTAATTGTAAGAATTAAGTTAATTATTTTTGCAAACGATCGTTGTAATGTCGAAAATAAAACATTTATGAAGATATACAAATAATATAAGCAATTAGTAAAAAATTTTATTGAAACTTTTGGTGGATGCGCCGGGACCATTTTAAACCTAAGCTGTAATTAAGCCATAATTCTGGTTTCATTGAAGTAGATTGATGAATATTCATCTTTATATTACAGTTTTAATATGTAGACTCAGTCAGAGTTATTATTTTGTTTTTTTTGCAAATAAAGTACAATATGCATTGTAATGTATAGACAACCCAACAAACCACAAAAATTACAACGTTATTAATTTAATTATAAGGAACATCTAGATCAGTACGAAAGAAGAAGACACATAAATATAAACATAAATCATTTTCATCTGAATTTATATGTTAGCACATGGAGAAAGCAAAATTTTTATAATTTACGTAAAAATTGAAACTTTATATTGTAAATAGCCAAATTAATAGTAGAATTTTATTTGCAAATGCCTTATCAGCATCCAATTAAAAACTGTACTATAATAATGATTACCAATTCGATCATTTTTATAATTTTTTATCATTCTTGCTTGTTGGGTACATCTTCCTGTATTAAACTCCGTCCAGTTTCAGAAGTGCCTACCTAAACGAAGTAAACTTGTTACATCAGGTTATTTTAATTTTCATTTCCGTTTCCGTAATACTGCCAGTTTAAATAAGACTGTAACAAAAGTGATACAAAGAGCTTGCTTTCAAGTCTTTCAAGAATCTATTAAGTTTAATTTTCTTTACTTAAACTAAGCACAAAGGATTTATTCAAGCAAGACGCTAACCTTGACAGACCAACATGTACCTACCTACCTAACGCTAAAAGCTCCAAGTAGGTAATAAAGAGAGATAAGGCTTCCATTATATTAGGCATATTGGGTGGAAGACTAGAGAATCAGTGGGTAACACAAAAAATTTTGAAAATTTGAAACAAACGTAACTTTTCCAANCAATTTAAAACGAAGGCTATAATAGAGCTGTAGTTTCAGTTTCATTGAAGTACATTGATCAGTTTTCATCTTTAAATTATATATTTTCATTATAGAAACAGTTGGGATGCTAATTTATATTCTTTTTTTACAATTAAACTGGAATTAATAGTATTGTATTTAGGCAACCGAACGTACAGCAAATATTACAACTTTAATAATTTAAATAACTGTGAAACTCAATACTACTCATACATTTTTGTGTCATTAAATTACTAAAGCTACATAACTTTGTATTGTTTTCGTTTTATGTTATGATTTTTTAATGAAACAATTATATTGTGTTCTTCATTGCTTTTATCTCTTTTCCATAAAAAAATGAAATTCTACGTCGACATTGAATATCCAGGATTCGGTCCAATTCTTGAAGAAACGCAATTTATTTTCGTAAAGTCGAAGGGTAAAAGAATTAAAGTACAAATCATCCAATTTTCAAATAATAACAGAGTTAAGTTTTTTATTATTTTTTTGTGGTCGTCGATGATCTTTGACACGCATTTAGGTCACAAGTCTCAGGTAAAACCTATCATGAAATTTTGTATACACATTGTCAAGAGTACATAAAGGGAAATAGGGTAATTTTTATCCAGAAAAAATACTGTTCCTGAGAGCTGTTGTCGTCTTTGACATGTATTTATCACGAAGCTTCGGGTAAATCCTAGTATTATATAAAAATCAAAAGGCTTGCTGTGGATTTACTATGGGAATTAAAGTGCCTAATTGAAATGTTAAAGTTTTGATCATAAGTCAAAAAAGTAGACACATTGGATGTCAGTTGCTCAAAATTTTTTAGTGTTTTACCGTTTTCTTTTAATTTATTCTTACAATGTCAGAAAGAGATGACCCACTGGAGCTCACATATGGTGAAAACGACGCCCAAAACGTAATATCTGTTCTAGCAAATGGCTGGATATCGTCCGTTAGAAAATTTCTTACGTCAAAGGTATCTGCAGTGCGAGTTAAAGTTGAAAGAAATGGTAAGCTTAAGAAAATTGGAAAAACGCCAGACATTCTAATAACGAATGGCACAGAAGAAAGAGAAGTGAAGATTATTGATCAAGACAGACCAAAATTTATAAAACTGCCGAAAACAGTTAAAGTCAATAAACGCCAACAATCTTCTGTTGATATCATTGGTAGTCGTAATCGTCAAGAACATACACGAAATCGGCTCGGTAGAAATCCATTTTCTGTTGCCTATGTTACAATTGTTAATAGCGTTGCAGATATGTTTCGTTAATTTGTTCAATAAAGACCAAAATTCATAACTTTTTTCATTATTTCATCAATATCTTAGGGTCGTTAGCCCTTTTAAGTATTAAAATAGTATTGGCGAAAGAAATACGAAAATAAACAAAGAAATTCAAAGAAAAGGGAATGATATAGGTAAAAATGTCTTATATATACAGGGGAAAAAGATTAGTATGCTTAGATTTGCAGATGATATAGCAGTGTTAGTATCTAGCAAGGAGGAGTTAGAGATAGCTTTAAGTAAAATGGAAGCGGTATTGACAAAACAGTATTGTATGAAAATAAATAAAAGTAAAACAAAAATACTGGTATGCAAGGAAAGAAAAAGAAGGGAAAGAGCGAATAATTAGAAGAAGTGGCCGATTTTAGGTATCTAGGAAGTCAGATAAGTCAGGACGGAAGGAATAGTAAGGATATAAAGCAGAGGATAGCGCAGGGTCAAGTCTTCTCCAATAAAAAGAAGTCACTTCTATGCTCTTTAACGGTTAATATAGAAATTCGAAAAAGGTTGATAAAGGTTTATGTTTGGAGAACGGCGCTGCATGAGTGCGAAACATGGACGGTGGGCGCGGCGGAAAAGAAAAGGTTAGAGGCGTTCGAAATGTGATGTTTTGGGCGAATGATGAGGAAACCGTAGAAAGAGAAGGATATAAATGAAGAGGTATTAAAAAGAATAGGAGAACAGAGGAAGTCAATAAGAAATAAGCGAGATAGGTTAGTTGAACACCTTCTTAGGCATGAAGGGCTAGTTAGTGACGTACTGGAGGCAGAAATGGGAGTTAGGAGGGGTAGAGACAGACTCAGACTAGATTAATATTCGCAGATAGTTAACGATATGGATTATTCTAGTTTTAGGGAAATGCGAAGATTAGCTCAGGATAGAAAAGAGTCAATCTTAGGACTGACGATCTTACGATGATGATGATAACAAGTGATTCATTTCTCTGATAAACTACAATCAGATTTATTATCATTAGAAGAATTGTGAGAATTTGTTAATATTGTAACCATTTAAATGATTTTGAAAATAATTATAAAAATAAATTTAATTAATAAAAAAGAAATTTTAAAATTGCAGAAGTGAAATTGTAACTTACAGAAAAACTACTTTAAAGTAATATTTTAATTATAGTATAGGAATTCANGGGGTCCACTTTAATATTCGTTTATTTTGTATTTCAAATACAATGCAAAAAATGTAAAACAGACGCATTACCATGTTACTTATTTTTAAAATAAACAAGATTGTGCTTATTTTCACTGAGATCACAATCATTATCAATTTATTAATTACGTGATTGAACAGAAAATTTATTATTAATAACGTTTACTATAACAACATAATACATATTATGTTATCGTACATCTGTATAGGATAATGGAGATTTAATGAATATAATTATTTATCAATATTAATTCATGTACTATGGAAGTAAGCAGTTTTGTATCGATGAAATTGAGGACTTTACGAAACAACCAATTTTATAAATAAAGGACAGGTAATGGTAAAATAAAATGAAAATGTTTACCACAACAACTAATTCACAATAAAAAGGTAAATAAATTCTGAAAATGTTTTACAATGGGAGCCATTTCTTGCACCGTTTTACCATTACCAAACCTTTATATCAAAAATTGCCCATCTTAATGGTAAGAACTAGCTACTTTAAGCAAGGTAGGTATGATTTATTTTATAATTTTTGGGCACCTTTCAGTCTAAAAAAATTACAGAGAAAATATTATTATATTAGGTACAGATAGCAATAATTGGTCTTTTTTCTTTTACAATATATTTCTTCGAAATTGTAGACATTTATTGTTTAAATTTTTCCAATTGTTCGACTTATATTGGGTATTTAACTGATCAAAAAATGTACACCCTCAGCAATAGAAAAACATTACCATTACGAATTTAATATCATTGTAAACTGTAAATTTAAAGTCATAATTATAATTATTCTCTGTAATTTTTAATCTTATTAAGTAATAAATAATCGACTGGCAGTTTCTCGTTATCTTACCAATTTCCCAACACCTTCAAATAGTCACCCATATAAATATCTATGAATGTTCCTCAATCTTCAACAAATTATCTTGGCACATTCCGAAATCTTTAACATAAATAAACATACGATTCGTATGCTATGCTAATGATAAACTAAGAAATAATTTAAATGCAAATAAAAATAAAAAAGAAACAACTGATAAACGGATATGAATATTTAGGTAGGAAGTGCTAAATAATAATAATAATAAATTGTTTCGTTGTGTTAAAAAGTTATGCTTATTACAATAATTGGAACTATTGAACAGGTTATTAAAACCAAAGTAAGAATAAAAATAATTTTTTTCCTGAGAAATATCATCGTTACAATTTTGAAAATGGTAGCAAAATTTGTATACTGAATTATTTTATCAACAATTGTAAATTTTTTTGATGCGAAACAGTTTTTGGCGCGCCTGGAGGGTGAAATTGAGTCGTGGCAAGACGGGGCGACGCGACGCTCTTGCATAGCAAGTCTCGTGTTTAATCGGCTTTTTCCGCTCGGTGCAGGGGAACAAGCGATCTTGTGTAGTGTGACAGGCGACACTTTATTCGGTCAATTTCGTGGGCCCGTCGTTAAGATTCGGCAATCTCCACCTATACAGTCGTTTCCTCCATTACCTACTACATGCTCACCCCTTCATTTGTGAATATCGGAGTAAATTCTTTTATAATTTACTGCAATTATCATTTTCCTAAATAATAATCTGACGTTTCATGTCTTCCAGGCGCCCCGTGACGGCTAATTTTCTTTATTATTAAAAAGCCAATTAGTGTATGTAATTTTTCATATAATCCCCCAAATCAATTTAAAAAAAAAAACATTTTATCTCACCTGTGATTCCAAATCAGCCTGTAAGAAGGCAAAATAACGATAATCCAATCATGGATTATTATTTACACCTAGGAAGGTAGTGGTGATTGTAGCCAGGTGAAAGTTTTTGGGAGACACACAAACAATTTATTTTTTATCGGCGAAAATAAAACAATAAAAAATAAATAAAACAAAAAATTCTGGTACTTAAAATATATCAAGCAGGCGTGATATATCGCACTTCCTTTTTTATTATCATTATTATTATTATTAAAAATTCATCAATGACCATTCACAATTTATATTTATTGACTAGCACTAGTATTTGATATAAAAGCGGTTTAATAAATAAAAATTATCGCAAAACACAACAAATAAAAAGTCAATCAGTATTACACGTAACGAAAAAATAAAAATTGGTCTGAGCACGCTTTGGTCGGTGCTAATACGACTAACTTCCCATTAGATAATACAGTTATTATTGATTCCGTAACTTCATTGTTGTGATTAGATTAGAACGTATTTTAATTAAATTGTTTGTAATTAATTCGTTTTTTTTTTATAAAAAAAAAACGGCTTGACCGATTTCGTTCAAATTTCTTTCAGATCTTCATTATGATAATATCTTTCGAAAAAATTTTGGTTGAGGGCGATATCTCAATCCGTTCTTGAGATATCGAAAACGAAAAAAATGCTGACATACGAACGTACGTACATACGTACGTACGTACGTACGTACGTACGTACATACACACATCATCAAAAAAATTGGCTAGCATGCTACTAATATGTTAAAACGTGGAAATATAATGAAAATTCCGATTTCACTTTTCGACCCAATTACAATAACTTCCTAATGGGAAGTTAATAAAGAGATTCATTAGAAATCAGTTTAATTTGATTTGTTCTTTTTTTTTAGCACATAAAATATAAAATATAATTTCAGCCGAAAATATTGAAATTCTTACACAAACTCACAGAAACAAAATTAATCCGTATTTAAAGAAAATATTCTCTAACTTATCGACGACAGCTATGTACAATATCAAATATTTCATTTTAAAATTTCTCTATCTAAAGAAACATTCATACGAATTTTAAATAATATTTAAAAAATTTATAATTAAGGGAATTCAAATTACCTATAAAGTTGTGGAATATTTACACAACAAACTATATATTTATACAGCAAGTGGATTGAAATTGTTTATAAATTTTAAGTACATAAATAAAAAAAGGGGAAAGGCGGAAGAAGGAACAAAATAACCCTGTCATATATTTAAGTCAAGTCAGTTTGATTTTTGTGGGATTCGTATGGATGTGTCTTGTATTTGTGAGTTGATTTTTCATCTTTGGTCTATGACCATCATAAATGCCTGTTAAAAAAGTATCTTAGTATTTTAAATAGGAATCATATGAAACTAAAACATATTTTCATCTTTTTTTTTTTGGAAAGTTGAAGCCCTTTCTCAAATATAATTTTTTAAATTAACTAAAATTTTGAGGGTTACTCAAGGCGACATCAAGTTACGTTCGGTAAGACGCTGCGCTGTAAGGCACGGCGCATCTGTAGGCGTTTACGTTTTGTATTTGACAGTTGACAATACCAAAAACGATGCGCAATCGCTCGTCGCGCAGCTACTCTCAATTTTTTCTCCTAATTCAAGTAAGAATTCAAAAAAATTAACTACTCTTTCATGATGATGTTATTCAGAAAGACCAAAACTTTCCAATTTGTTTAAGCGAGGGATAGTGGTAAAATTTTCTCTTAGCAATACACATGCGCAACTTACAATTAAAAATAAATACGAAAGTAAACAACAGTAAAACTAATAGTTATTAATAATAATGTACTGTGCTCTATAATTTTCACGACGACTATACAGCACTGTTCGGGCCATCTTCACAACACTCCTGATATTCGTTTTTCTTTTTGTTTTTTTTTTGTTTAGTTTTTCATATAAAAGTACACAAACGATGTAATAAATACTGTACGCCCATGAAAGAGAAAATAAAAACAATGTAATTATCGGTATTACATCGAAACAGAATGCAAAAAACGCCAGGTAGGAAACATTCATCGTAGCTCGTATTCGTACATACATTTTTTTTACTCTTTTAAGTAAAACAAATTAACAATGATGCTTCAATGATCGATGATGATTATAATAGTCAAGCTGCACACGATGGCGTGCTGATTACCTTCGATTTAGTTCCGTTTTGATTGCTGAAAAGGAAACATTTCACTTACAGGTTGAATTAATACACAGGGTATGCTTGGAGGCGAAGCGTGGATGGTCCAGCTATGGAAAAATAAGGTAAGAAGCATTGGAGGTGAAGCGTGGATGGTGGAGCTATGGAAAAAAAGGTCAGAAGCATTGGAGGAGAAGCGTGGATGTTGGAGTTATGGAAGAATAAGGTTGGAAGTATTGGAGGTCAATCGCGGATGGTGGAGCTATAGAAAAGAAAAGGTCAGAAGCATTGGATGCGAAGCGTGGATGGTGGAGCTAAGGAAAAATAAGGTTAGAGGCGTTGGAGGCCAAGCGTGGATGGCGGAGCTATGGAAAAATAAGGTTAGAAGTATTGGAGGTCAAGCGTGGATGGTGGAGCTATGGAAAAATAAGGTTAGAAGCATTGTTGGCCAAGCGTGGGTGGTGAAACTGTGGAAAAATAAGGTTAGAAGTATTGGAGACGAAGCGTGGATGGTGAAGCTTTGGAACAATATGGTTAGTAGCATGGGATGATAAGGGTGGATAGTGGAGCTATGAAAAAATAAGGTTGGAAGCATTGTAGGTCAAGTGTAGATGGTGGAGCTTTGGAAAAATAAGGTTAGAAGCATTGGTATGTTTTCTTATAGACGCATGTTGAGAATACTGTGGATAAAAAGGCTAGAAATGAGGAAGATTTGGAATCTTTAGTTTTTGGCTGATTGTTGTTTAAACTTACCATCTAATATTTCTTGTTTCATTTTTCCTAGTTCTTTTCTTATCTCCTTAACTATTTCGTTTTTCAGACTTTCTAACTCTGTTGGTCCAAGGGATAGGCTGTCGGAGAGGCCGTTAACTTTCAAAATCGTTTCTTCACTGGCCGAACCGAACCGTTTTCTCACGCTCTTTGGCGATTCCGAATATTTAGAAGAAGGATTTGGCAACGTGTTACTCTTTTCCCATGTCGCAGCTTTCGATTCTTCTTCGTCTTTGTCTGCAGTCGTTTTGTCAACCTAACAAACCAAACGTGGTAAGCAGTTAAAATAGTGATGAACAAAGCAAGACCAAGATCAAGACTGTCTCAATGGTGGTATCGGCTTTGGTCTTGCTTATTCGGTCTTGGTCTTAATACTTCTAGTCTTGGTCTTTTTCGTCCGGTCTTGGTCTTATTCTTGGTCAAGACCAAGACTGCAGAACCAAAACCAATTTTGCTTATCACTAAGTCAAAAGTAAAAAATAGTGAAAGACCAACTTACAGCAGCTCTCCTCCTAGCGAGTGTTTTTGCCATTTCGTCCATCATTGAAGCCATACTAGAACCACCACCCCTTCCTAACGTGCCATAATTACTACTACCCCCGCTACTCGTTGACGATCCACTATTTTCCGTTGGAGGTGGAGTATTCTGTAAATAACAGACAGGTGCATAATTACAAATATCCAGATTATTTTTTTTTTAATAAGTCCATACTTTGTTATTCCTTTTCAGTCTGGCATTTTGGAGTTGAGCAGCTAGCGAGTTCACTTCTCCCCCGTCGCTACTTTGCGACCGAGATATGTTCATGGGCGGCGGCGGAGGAGGCGGGGGGGCTGCAGTCTGATTGACTAAGCTCCCGACCGCGTGTGAGGGAACTGGTGGAGCGAGCCCGGGTACACCGCTACTACTCCCGGACGGTGGTGGAGGCGGCGCGGGCGGAACGCTGGAATTACGTTGATGACCGCCGGGACCGGCCGAGGGAGATACGGGACTAGGAGCGGACGTGAGCGAGAATGGTAGGGCGGGAGCAACGGGAACATTAGTCTGGGGGGTCATTGGGGACGTTTGCTGCTGGGGGGACATCATGGCGGCCGAAATGCGTCGCTCCTGCAAATTGGCTACGTCCTCTCTCGTCATTGTCCTGTAGCCCATGTCTTCGTCATATTGTTGCTGGGCAGGCGGCTGTGGAGGTTGTTGGGGTAGTTGTTGTGGCTGCTGTTGTTGTTGTTGTTGTGGTGGTAGTTGTTGCGGTTGAGATATCACAGGAGGGTACGACTGTTGAGGAGGCTGAGGTTGACGAACCATGTTACTTAATACCTTTAAAAATAAAAAGTACTAGGTACTTTACTTCTGCCCCAGTTCGATCATAATTTTATATAGTTGGGACGATCAAAACTGGCAAAGGCTGCAACAAATTATCTGAAAGAATGGAAGTATCTTCTGTCTTGTTTCCAGTTGGAACTGCAGTCATTTACTGCGTTTTGAACAGGTTCTTGTTAAGTCGGGAAATGCTTCATGAGTAGTATGGACAAGGTGAAAAGAGATAACCGAATAATAGTTAGCAGTGCAGCGGTTATGGGTTCTTTAGGAAAAAAAAAACTTTTGGGTAGAATGAAAATTCGGGCTATAGGACCGTGGTCTAAGTGAACTGTTCCGTCCAGACGTTTCGTCAGCTACTGCGGCTGACATCTTCAGTGGTAGTGCTGCGTTGACAACGTGAACGTAGATTATATCTCGAAGTCTCGACAGCGACCCAGATATAATCTACGTTCACGTTGTCAACGCAGCACTACCACTGATGATGTCAGCCGCAGTAGCTGACGAAACGTCTGGACGGAACAGTTCACTTAGACCACGGCCCTATATGTTCTTAAACTTTTGGGTGTTTCATTCCCACCAGCCAGTAATGTTGGTGGGCGGGCAGTCCCTCCGGACTACGCCGGAAGGTAGGGCGGAAGGCCCTCTTCAGCCTCCGTTCCGGAATCGTGGGAATGGATGGATGGGTGGTAGTTCGGGTGAGGAAGATGAGACGGACGAAATGAAGACAGAAGAGAATGATAGATTATCTGTGGAATATTACTGCCTCAGCATTTGCCTAAGTGATCCAAGGAAACCACAGAAAAACTTGGACCAAGGCAGACGGACCCGGAATCGAACCGGCGTCCTCGCGAATGCTAAGCAATGGTCTAGACTTCTAGGCCATGCCGCTCGGTGGTTCTTTAGGTAAGTCTTTATAACTGCCTGCTAGGAATTATATCTTCGAACAAGCGTCTCTGTTTTTCTAAATTCCTGAGAATGTTGAACTTTCTTTAAAGTCCGATGCTGAAATTCTGCTTGTCTGTATCTCTCCCTATTACACATCAATTGATGTAATGTTAATTCCTTTTTCTTTATTAGTGTCCGCTGCAATTCCTACCTGACATCTCTTTTCTACCTATGTTTACGATATTCGCCATAACGTCTGTCGGGGGTAAATGTAGGCGTTCTGACAACAACCGTTTTAGTCTAGTTAGTATGTTGAAAAAAGAAAGTAAATGTGACAGTTTTATTGCAGACTATGCCAATTGTGAACATCCCAACTGTATTATGGGTTCCCCCTCAAACCGAATCCTAAAGCTAATAATATTTTTGGTAGCATCTTATTATTGGTCATTTCAATGTTAATGATAAAATTGATTACAACAAAAGCACATGAACGAATATCGACCAGCTTCATAAGATTATGCAAAGTGGCACGTTACATCAAGACTCCCTTCCCCCATTTTCACTACCCCAAAAGACAAAAAACCCATTGAATTTTAATGAAGGCGTTTAAATAATAATTCGTTTATTACCTTTTTACAATCGCACTTTACTGGTCAAATGTAAAATCACAACTACTGTTAATACCTTTTAGTGATCCCGCATTGCAAAGGCTTCTCGATAATTGGCGTACCACATCCTCTCCACTAACATGAGTATTTCAATAGTTCCAATAAAATAATCATTCCAAAGTAATTTGCGTGCAAACGTATGAATGAAATAATAATAATGCATGTACTTTTTATTGCACATTTCCTTCAGTGACTAAGTGGTTCGTTTTGTAATAATAAGAGCAATGTTGAACAATGAGAAATTATTAAAAAAATTGAATCAGAATTTGACTACTTTTACTATTACAGCGTTATACTGTTCTTTGTAACTGATGGTTAAATTTTGGAGTATTTGGTTATTATTTTTGGATTGCAACTCTCAATAAACTTCCTAATTAACGCTAATTATTGTGAAACACTGCAACGGAAGTGGATTTTATTCCCACCATAATTTACTGCAACCAAACTTCCCATGTGGAAGTCAAACATTTACAACACCATAATATGTACTTTATTTTTGTTAGTTAAGCAGTTTTTCTTATTTATTAGCTAGAATAGGGGTAGTTTACATTTCTTATATTTATCCCTATATGTGCCACCACTTCTTTCCTTATATTTTTTAATTACAAATTAATGCGTGGTGCACAAAAGATTTACGGTAGGCGTAATATATGTAATACGCGTCAACTTTTTGAAAGACAAAAGACAAGCGCTGATATCTCGAAGGTTAATAACCCCTTTTCCTAATTAAGCGGTTCAGACTTAATGAGCAATGCATTCAAAACATGACGTAAATATTTTATGCATGTCCAATTAGAATCCAATTTCACTCAAAGAAACCATTAAATTATTAAATTAACTGATTCAATATGCATCTATTTAATTACTTTATAGTCAGCCATATTAATTAAGCCACGCCTTCGCGTCGTTCTCAATTGCTGGCTACAGGATAAGTAAAAAGAAAAAGAAAAATAAAAAAAAAAAAAAGAAAATTACCTCTAAAGAATGGAACATGGCCCGAGCAANAAAAAAAAAAAAAAAAAAAAAAAAAAAAAAAGAAAATTACCTCTAAAGAATGGAACATGGCCCGAGCAAATTGATCGGCGTCCTCCTTCGAACTAAAATTCAAACCGTAGACATGCTTACTGTCTCTCCATTGGTGAAACGTCGAGGTGGCTTGATTGTATTTCAGTCCCTTGATAATGGCACAATTTATAACCACCTAAACAACACAAATACAATTACACGGACAATATTCAAATGAACAACAAAACGCGTTGTGTTATTTATTGTTTTCGAGCGCTGGTATTGAGGAAGAGACAACAACTGGACTGATCTCTTTTCTGTACAAACAGAAAGACAGTAAATAAATAAAATATTGTAGGTTGTTTGATGGGCTAAAGGCTTGTTATTTTATGATACGGTGGCATTTGTCTAAGAGCTTGTAAATAACACTTACAGCACAGGAATTTCTGTTGTTTTATTTATTACTATGTTTATATTAAAGAGTATTTTGAACCAAGCGATTAGGGCTTTACTTATTGTGTCTGACACGATGGTCAACATTTTTATCAGGATCCTATATATGTTGTCATAGAGTGTTTTACATTTTATCGGCAATAATGTTGTTATCATGGACTTCTACTATAGCCAAGTACATTCACATTCCGTATTGGCCCTATACAAGTAAGGCAAAAACATAGAAATTACGCTTTTCCTTGTTTTGCCGAAAGGGGGAACATATTTGTTCTTTTTTAGATAGGTATTCCAAAGTATTTAAAGAAATTTTCAAAGTGCAAATAATATTTAAATAAAAACAAGAAATAATTTGGCATAAAAACGTCCTCGCGAATGCTAAGCAATGGTCTAGACTTCTAGGCCATGCCGCTCGGTGGTTCTTTAGGTAAGTCTTTATAACTGCCTGCTAGGAATTATATCTTCGAACAAGCGTCTCTGTTTTTCTAAATTCCTGAGAATGTTGAACTTTCTTTAAAGTCNCAAATAATATTTAAATAAAAACAAGAAATAATTTGGCATAAAAATCACCTTTTCTTTATGCTAGCTCTAAACATCCAGGATTTAGGGAAATTTCCCTAAGTTTGCGAATGCTAGCCACAAATTGAATGTGTTAGTGGACATCTCTCTCCCTCTCACATACTGCTTGCAGAGGAAAGAGAGAGAAAGAGAGAGCTGACGAGGTAGATTCAAATGATCTGCCATCTAGTGAGTATATATAAACTGACCTGTTAGTAGCAACCGACATTTTACAAAATATCTTAACCTAAATTTATAATTAATACTTGTCCAATACCGTAAGAAACTTCCTTCCTACCGGGTGTCCCAAGACACCACACATCTTTTTGGAATTTACAATTTTACAATGAATCTGTTATTCAAACTTCTAAACTATAATACCATCAACATATCAAAATCACTTCAGTGCAGTATTCTTTTAAACTTAATTAATTAATCTTTGGAATACTTGTTGTGTGCTAGATATAGGAAAATGGAAACACCACGTATATTTATATTTATTAATGGAGACTGTTACTATCAACTTCGTGCAACGTCTTTGATAAAAGATTTTAAGCAGATTTACTGGGGTTGCTCGGTCAAAGAACTCCTGCAAAGATCGTCGTATAAAGTAATGTACAAGTACATGAATTCTAAATTATAAATCTGATTCATGTATTCGTTCGATTTGAGCAAATATCTTATGAAAAGGATTTTGCTCTCTATAAGCGTGTGCTTGGAGCATGCAGCTCTGGAAGGTAACGCGATGCATTAGAAGTGATTGAGATGGGGATGATGAAAATATCGCGAACAGAGAAAGCTAGAATGAGAAAGTATTCAAAAGGGTACAGGAGAACAAGGAGTGGTATAAGTCAATAAGAAAAACGAGAAATAGGATGGTAGGACATCTTTTGAGACATGAGACAAAAGGAGTAAAGAGGGACAGATGTAGACCCAGATTAAGTAACAGTTAGGTGTTTGGTTAATTTCAAGGATTTTTCTGACAGGATATTGCTTCATATGGAGAATTTTTTAATATAGCGTTTATTGTGGCTTGATGGTGTTGATAAAGCTAATAAGACTTTATCAAATGGACTAACGAAAATGGAAAGAGATTCCCATTGTTTTAAGTATGGATTAAGCAGCGGAAAAGGAGCATATGAATTTATTGCGTTTGTTGTTATTCCTATTCTAATGTAGGGACTGTAAATGTAATAATTTCACTAGATAAAACTCGTTCAAACTGATATCAAATTAAGAAAAACAGAATAGAATTGTAATAAATGTTTGTTATGTAAAGAGAGAACTTACACTGTACGTACAATGACTGTAAATGTGTAAATATTTAATCTGTAAAAGTTTTGACTTTGGCTTATTATTATTTATTCTAAGATGGTTTAATGTCATCTCTAATGTTTAGTACAACTTTTATTATCTTACAAATAGTACAAAGTACCTACTTATTTATCTATTATTTAATGATTTAAGTATTGATGGATTGTTTAACATTTGTAAATGCAAGGAAATATTGGAGTGTGATATCTTTTTTAAAAACACCCCTACCAATATATTTTGGTTTTCAATAAGACATTCATAGAGGGTTTAAGATGTTTTATGTTTTTATCTCAAAACGAAGCCATGAAGGTATTTCATTCAGTAAATGATAAAATATCGGTGTTTTATATTAGATAATAGCCTACGATGAGAGTAATTTAATTAGTTAAGATGCAATACTTGCTATAAGTGAAAAGTGTAAAACTCAATTGTATGTTGTTATAAGAGGGAGAGAGATGTCCACTAACATAATCCATTTTTGACCAGCGTTGTCAGACCCACGAAAATTTCCCTTGCGCTTTGGGTATTTAGAACCAGCTTAGGGATAGGGGGATTTTTGTTTAACTTATAATATAATTTAATTTTTTATTTACATGCATTTTGAAAATATCTTCAAATACTTGAATAACGAAGGACAAAAGGTCTTCATTTTTTGCGCCAAATGAACTTTATTTGCCACAAGGCAGCTGTTGACTTTATGACGATGTGGATAGTACAATGGCTACTGTGGTCTCATCTTTGCTATTTGTTTTTTAAAATATAAAGTGTAATGACACAAACATTACGTGATGGATATATTAGTTCTTTCAGAATTTTTGCTTTTTAACTAAAACACGTACCCACACGTATAAATTAACAAGTATGTACGTGAATTTTCATGTGAATGAGAACAGCATGAATGAACATCCATAAAACAACAGTTATTTCTGGAAATGCATAATATAAAGTGACGTTTACTGTACTAGGTACCTATCTAATAAAAGCGGAAATTTTAATTGAGTTGTATTACCTCGTGGTCCTGTAACTTCCGTCCAACGACCCGAAAAGTCTGTTGTACAGTGTGCTGGTATATGTGGACTTTGGAAAGACCTGAAGATGATCCTGAAGGGATCCATTTTTTATTTACGTCGTCATACACCATCACACTTGCCCGAGCACTGGCTATGGACTGCTCACTGCAACAAACAAAACGAAAATTTAATTAACAAATCAGTACCTAACCATAAACCACTCAGGGACTCAGCTTTGGAAGAACCCTCCTACGGAGGAATTGTATTCCAAACTCTTACTTGGAAAATTGTATTTGATTTTGTTTATTTTTGCCAGGCTATTCCTATTAAAAGAATAGGTTTTTTTTTGTTAAAGGTTTGTGACAAAAGTTTCGCTATTGAGAAAGACGAAAGGGTAAAAATAAAAAGCACTCGCTCGGTTTGGAGTGTTGAAAACCTAGGTAAAGCGATTTTAAAAGAAGCCAATAAGTACTCGGCCTTTTTAGTAGTCTGCAGAAAGTAAAAGTGAGAAAAAGTAAGCACAGACTATGTGGAAACAATAGGCTCGCATTAGGCTTCCCGCAAGTGTTTCTAAAAGGCAAATTCTGAATTAGAAATCGTCAGTGATTTTAGCAGGTTTTCACATTGAATTGAAACGGTAGTGTAACTGTTGTGGAATCTTCAAAACAGTTAAATTAAACAACAATTTTATATAAAAGAAAACCAAAATTTTCATTTTACTTGAAAGGCAATTAATTGTTTTTACTGTAAAGATGAAGACAATGCTTTTGACAATTGCTAGGTACATATTAATAAGCAAGTTTTGAAAAATCTTACAAAGTTGTGCTTTTTTGGTTAGTAATGGATTTTCTTGATGCAAAGGTAGACTGTTAAAGTCAATGTCTTTCACTGACCTTTATTTTGAACGGTTTAGGCCATTCTAAGGAAATTTTCAAACTTTTGATATGCAGCGATTTTAATAACAAAACTAGTACAACCTGTTTTCAACTTAACTTTGACATTACCACGTATGAAATCAGCAGGAAAAAATAAATAACGGTAATCATGTACATCATCTAGGATTTTGAAAACTAGAGAGGTACTTATAAAACTTATAGCGTGTCACGCGCGCTGTAGCAATTTATCACTTTGACATCTCTTCCTGGTGTCAAAATACGAATAATCGGCTACTTCCTATTTGTATCTAATTCGTTCTAGTACACACACTGTAGCAACTCATCCTACGCTGGCACTTAACGTTATCTCCGAAAATTATATATATTATATAGCTCCAGAAAATTAAAAAAAGATTAAATGCAAACCTAGAAGAGTTCCATATGTCACTCGTGGTACTATTTTATTCTAACAGAACGATAATAAAAGATGCTGAAATTAAAGAATATCATCATCATAAGGTCATCAGTCTAAAGACTCTTTCCTATCCTGAGGCAATCTTCGCATTTCCCCAACATTGGAACATCTCACATCTCACTATTTATAAACAGTAATCTAATCTAGGTCTTTTTTAACTACAGTTTTCTTCTTCTAATATGTCTATAACTATCCCTTCAAGCCTGAGAAGGCGTCCTTCCAACTTATTGACTTCCATAGAGTCCTCTTTGTTCCTATTCTTTCCAATATCTCCTCATTTCTAACCTCTATCGACGGTATAAGACGGTGCTTTTTTCATAACATTCCTCATCACTTCTGACGTGGACCACCTATTTTCACGGTTTCTCCCCCCCTCTCCTCCCTACACTCAACCCTTTTGCCAACTCAATCTTCTTCCCACACCCAACCTTTCCATTTCCTTCCCGGAGATGTACAACCTTCGGGTTGATCTTTCCCCTCGAGGAGGGGTTTTAGCCGATAAAAATCTGACACTACCTCCTTTCAGGAGGTGTCTTTTGAAGATGTCCCCTCCACGAGAATAATCTAAACAAAAAAAAAATAGCATTCCCACACTTGGCGCCTAATATAAATAGAAATTACACCTATGTAATGAGATGAAGATTTTTATTGCAAGTTAACAGTAAAGCGTAGATACTTTAAAAAGTTAATTTAAATTTACGAGTGCTTATAAAAGTGTTCTAATTAAATTTTAATTAACAATGACAATTAGGAATGTCCGCAATTAACAAACTTTTGGAGTATGCAGTGTAAATCTTTAGGCATATTTAGTTGATTTAACATAACTATTTATATGCATATAGGTACTACATAGGTATTTTTGCGTTATATACATTTCACTGTCCAGTTTACATTATCCTATACATATAATCGATTTACAATGATCAAGGTACATATATGTATGATCTACAAAGAGGTAAATTTGGACGATTCTGTGAAACTATTCATCCGATTTCGAAAATCCTTTCACCAATATGTATGGAAGGATCTTCAGGATGGACATGGGCTGTATATTATTATTCCTTTAGAATAAAAGCGCTTTTCGTGGAGACCAATTTTGCAAATAAAATCGACCAAAAAACGATAGAGCAATTGTCAAGCAGGCGAAATCGCGGGCACATCTAGTAGGCAGTTTAATAAAACAGTAAAACAATAGTCGATAAAATATGATTGTTGATGACCTTGATTCGAATAAGGCTAATAATTGATTACAATAATAGTTTTTAATGGATTTCTATGAAAGTACGTTAGGTGCAGAAATGGGTCGATTATTATCAACACCGTTTATACCTATTAGTGGGTGTCTACTACCACCAGTAATTCATCAATTAATAATATGTCACTTCGGTATCGTCAACAATATACCCTTGAGGCAACTGACACATAAAAGAAACATGAGACACCTAACAATCGAAAACTAGCGTTTAGTAATAAAAATCGATTCACCACCGCGTTCTGACACACAAACAAGCGACAGTTATGGAGAAAAAGAGACACCTTGAGAAGGTCAACACAAACAATCATCAGCAGAAATGGCAATCGCATATGTACATAAGTAAAATCATCCAATGAAAACGCTACGGATAATGTGGTTCTCTCTCTATAATTAAGCTGAAAATGTCAAACCTTGAAAATTGCTAAAGAACGTGACATTTTTAAAAATTAATCATTTTGAGACATGTATATGACACAATATGTGCAGGTACATAATGGAATGTGAACTAGCAAGAAATGTAATAATATTCTGGTTTAATGACTGTTTTGTAACTAAAACAGTGACTGTTCGTGGATGTCATTCGTGAGGGAGCACCTGACTTCGATTTGTTGTCACATTTGACCAAAATAACTTTTTTCCTAAATTAATTAATGCCATCATCAACATCATCACCATTTGGGATTACGTAACAGTAAACTCTATTTATGGATGTTTATGTTTTAACCAAGGAACCGGAAGAGCCTTGACCGATTTAATATATATAATAATGTGAATATGGATTATGTTCAATTAATATTTTTGGTTCTGGTTTGTGTTACACCAAATATGACAACATTACTCTCCACTTATGTTTCTAATGATCGTTGACCTTTTCAAAAAACTCCAAGGTCCTCAAAGCTCAATCCTTAACCAGTATTAATTTGAAATATTCTCCTTAAAGCATTTGTTACTATCCTGAGTATTCCTATTTAACTCTTTGACTTTTCCAAACTTTGCAATAATTCTCTAACTATTTCTTCAACATTGTCAGAATCTCCCTGAACTGCACCACTCTTAAATTCCACAGTTTTTGTGACTACTCCAGTCTTCCTTACCTTTTCCTTGACATCCCTGACCTTTCAGAAACTGGACACTGCATCTTTCTCATTTCACCTTTATTCATAACAACTGAAATCAAATTTAAAGGACTATTCTGACTGTTTTACATTTAATAGAATCTTAAAAATCATCATCTTCAATCATCACAATTTACAGAACTCTAGTTTTAGTTAATCACCCTGGATTGATCAGGTAAGAAATAAAAACTACTTCATTATTACGTAATGACACAGATACGAGAACACAACACAAATTTATGTAAATCGCGTGTAAGAAGTGCTTTTGCAAACAAGTGTATTGATTACGCGTGGTCGAAAGACGACGATGATGAAATAAAAGAAAGCGAGAATTCTGATCTTGCACGGACTCATAATTGTCGATGCAGAATCCCGAACAACGGAAACGTAGAAAGGCGTTGCAGTTGTAGACCTATTCTTTCTTAAATGTAGTGCTATTGTATAGACAACAATAGGAAATTTACATTTTATGACAAACACTTCCAATAACTATCTACGAATAAGTTTGTTCCTTGATAATAAACGTTCACTCATGTAACGAACGCTAAGGTGGGTCAAAATGTTCTAGTCTTACAGAAAACACTAATTTTTTTGATTTACTTTCATTACTCAATATAATCTCCACAATACCTAGAGGCCTTGTTCTCTCTCTCTTTTTCAAGCCATGTTTTGAGCTTGGGTACTAAACGAGTAGGTGATAGTTACTGGGCGTTAAATCCGGTAAATAAAGTGGATGGGGAAGCAACTCGAACTTTAATTTATTAATTTTAACGATCGCGATAACTGACTGGTGTTTTTACCATGGCGAAGGATGAACTTACTTTACCAGATTATAGCAGTAAGATCAATCAATTAAGATAGATAATTCTTTTCGTAAAATAGATGCCATGAATGTGATGTCTTCTCAGGGTTTAGTTCCCTTGGTCCTGCCAATTGTTTTGACTATTATTTACCGTTAGAATTGTAGTGGTGCACTCAAGCCTCATCAATAATAAATTGATCTTAAATAGTAGCATATGTACCTAATCGAAATTCCTCTTGTCATGTCACGACTCACTTGTTCGGCCCACTTACACTCAAAATCATTTTATATGTATAGAGACTGGATGTAAGCATAGTGAAAATTCTCTTCGATATAACAACCTTGAAGAACTTTGTTATTGACCAGACACGAAAATAACATCTACAGATGGTACAAACGTTATGTGAGGTTCATTGCTACGTTTTATTTATATTGCTGCAATAAACGCTAGGTAAACGAACTGGAAGATTGGCACAGATGTATGTGCTTATAGAGTGTCACGTTCCCAATATTTGCAAGGTCTTTGAAATCCTGCAAACTGGCAGAGAATTGTGGGAATTTTCAAGAAATACTCGTACCTATGGACATTTTGTTGAGTTTAATTCTTCCTCCTTTGATGTGTTAAACGTTACAGGTCTGAGTT